AGTAATGAGATAATACTTATAATGTTGTTAAGAAAGCTAATAATAAGTAAGGTGGACGTACAGAGTAACACTGGTGAGTCACTACACAGGATCCAGTAGCAGCAGCATCATGGGAGGTGTGTTGGACGTCACCACTATGCCAGAGCCATGCCTGCAGATACCAGCTGCTATGGCCCTCGTGGGCGTCAAGGCACAAACAATCAGCGTGCAGGGGAGTGAGGACTGCCTCTATCTCAATGTCTTCACGCCTAAGGTAACACGGGACTACATGTTGGTTCTCCTTGAGGGTGACTAGAAAGCAGGAGTAATCAGGTTTGATCAGAGGAAGGAGAGGACAATTCTGTTATTTTTAATCAGGAGACCTTTACCAGAATTATGACTCCTGGCATCCTCCTTCATCTCCCCTCCCTTCTTAGTGTTCCCAAATAGTGTACAAACAAGCAACAGGTCCTTATGGAAAATCTTTCTGCATGACCAAGGTAATTCAAAACTAGTGAATGAGTAGGACTCCTCTGGGCTGTGGAAGATCAATGTAACTCAAATCAACTTCCCACCCACTTCCACTACCACTTGGGACCTATAGGTTTGTCTGCTTTATCCTTATCACTCTGGTCTAGGACTCAGAAATGCTCGTTGATATTCCAAAGTACTTGCAAATTTTCCACTATTCGTGATTTTTCTTGGATTCGAATTCGTTCATGTAAATTGCTACACCAACCAGAAAGAATTTATGCATTTTTTCCTTAATTCAGCCGTGTAAAAATAAATATTTAATTATTAAAAATAAGTGTAGGAAGAATGTTGTGTGCGCACCTAGTGAGAGTGCTGACTGCTGTAGCCTGGTGACGGTGGGAACCTACCAGTGATGGTGTGGATACACGGAGGTGGCTTCTACTTCGGCAGCGCTCGGGAGTACCTTCCCCACGTCCTCCTCAACCAGCAGATTGTGCTAGTGGTCATCCAGTACCGACTCAGCGTAATGGGTCAGTTGATCAATCACGCACTTCATGTCCAGCTCATCCTCGATCTTTATATAGCATACCCCCTGGCACTCTGGCCTTCTTTAAAAAGGAAGCTATACGTATATACGTATATGTATACACATGTTCACATACGTGTGCACACACAATTGTTTTAGGCAGTACACCAAACAAATGAAGATAAAAAGACGTAGCTGGAAGACAACCCTCACAAAAAAACAGAGGTGAATGCTGACATATACACACAAAACACCCCAAATATACTCTTTTACTTATTGTTTTCATATTAAAGTCACTGTGTAAGCGTTGTAATATTATTTTAAATTCACTTGCTCTTAACTATAAATGCAACTCCAGGAAAATTGAAGCTTTTAAATAAACTTAAATTTCATTAATATATTTTATCTTTAAAAGGTATGTAAAATATATAATATTAGTTGCACGAAAGATTGTGTCTTCTGCATTACAACTAGCAGTTTTGACCCTAAGTAATAATACACATGATTTTCTAGCTTTGGTTTCTACATGTCCCAGATGAAGACAAATTTGTGTATTCCAATTCAGGTTTCCTGTCGACTGACGACTCTGTGATTCCCGGTAATTTCGGGCTTAAGGATCAAACACTGGCGCTACAGTGGGTGCAACGGAATATTCACAACTTCGGAGGAGACAAGAATAGGGTCACAATCTTTGGAGAGAGCGCCGGTGGTGCCTCTGTTCATTTTCAGATGCTCACGCCTAAGGCCAAGGGTGAGTAAGGGAGGAAAGAGGAGAGGTCTTGTTCCTCTTCTCAGAGGCCTAAACTCATTGAAAGAGATCACTAAGACGAAAGTTTGACAATTGACAAAGGTTTTGGACTACTACCTAACCACAAATGTTATCTCAATAGGTCTCTTCTCTCGAGCAATCATGCAATCGGGAACAGCGGTGTGTCCGTGGGCATTGAGTAGATCCCACGCTGACACGGCACAGAGGGTCGCCCGGGCTGCTGGCTGCGACTCAGTCCACGACAGCAACAAACTCCTGAAATGTTTAAAAGATGCTGATGCCGACAAGTTGACTTCCATCGCTCAGGAAATAATGGTAATTTTTTTTTTTTACAATTTTTTTACAAATAATTGTTAAGATGAAAATTTATTTGTTTCAGAGTAGGTATCAACTTATATTGAGTATGACTGTTAGCTCATATGCCGACAGATGACCAGAAATGAATGCTTTGTGTGATTAATTATGGGGAAGAACTAAGAAATTAATTTCAAGATTGTGTAGGTACTAAATTCACCTCGCTTAATTAAATCTTTACTTGCTAAATTATTTTCAATGATATATATCATATACGAATTTTACTAAGATATATTACTTTTCCTTGGCAAGAATTAGGAAGAGACATGTCCCATGTATGTGTAGGGTTAGAACTGAAAGTAGGCACTGGCACTGACATCATCTGAGCAGTCCATTAGAGGGCACTGGTGTCGTCGCTTGTGTTTCATAAGCGTAACACCCATGAACATCTGTGATTTTTTCTCCCTGTAGCTTTTCGATTTTATTTTCCTTATAAATCGAGAACACCTCGTCCATCATCTCAAATTGCTCAAATCTTCAACACTTGTGTATGGTAACGAGGTCCAAATTCTAAGAACAATTGACATGTTCCAGTGCCCTATGCCCAAAACTGTTGAACACATTATCAATAGTATACTCAGTGGCGAATCTTTAAACCTTCTAAACAAGTGCCTGAAAATTCGACGATAGCGGAGAGTAAAATTCAAATGTTCAGGTGCAGATTTGACAATTTAATCTGTAAAAAATATGAAATTCTTATTTCCGTCAAATAACGTTAAAAAAATTCAGTATATCCCTTCTGAATGGCTTCAGTATTTAATGGCTGATGCATCTTAGTACTCGTTAGGTTTCGTTTGTGTGCAGGCAAATTTGTTGACCTAATAAAATAGTAGAAAAAATTGAATCGAAGGACTCCGATGCCATAACTAGATTAGCTTCAAAATATTATTGACGATGCATTATGCAAAACAAATGATACCCCAAAACTTTAGTCTGAGTAGAATCAAATCTGAAATTTTTCTAAAGTATTTAGAATGCTTTTTCTGATCGGCCTCAAACTTTTACCATTGATGGGCTTTATATGAACACAGCTTGTTACTCCCTGTAAAACTAGAAAATGCCTCTTCTGATCAGCTTCAAACTTTAGGTTAGGTAAGATGTGTCAGGAAACAGGACAAGTGTTTCTTGACGCTGGTCTTGGTCATATGATAACCCTCAGCTGGAGCTTTGGTCATCTGATCGAGGCCTTTGTTAGCAAAGTCAAACTCTAAATCCTGGTGTACCTTAATACGAAGATGTTTTTTTTATTATTAATTATGGGTTGTAGGAGTGCAGATTTGCCTTTTTTTTGCGAATTTTATCGAACTGGCTTTTCAAAAAAAAATTAATTTTTTTCTTATAGAATTGTAGAGATTTTTAAATGACCTGCAAATGAGAAAAGAAAACTGGAAAATAATAAAATCCGCGGTTTTAAGATGTTTTTAAGTTTAAATAGAGGAAACTGTCTTGTTTCTCGGAACACTGTCAACAACATTTCCATTTGCTTTCTCAAATTTTCCGTTGAAACAAATACTTTATTTGATAGGCTTCAAATAATCAGCACTTGTGCAATATATCTAAGGCAAGATTATTGGGGATATTTACATGCGTGGCTGCTCTGTGCGCAATATTACGTAGGTCATTCCTCGTGTGATAGGTGGAAACAAGCTCCTCTGATCGGCCTCAGAATTTCAACATTGGTGTATTCTACTTAGAAGAAGGTTGATATATTTAAAGGAGTGTGTTGATACCATTTTGTCACTTTTAATATCGATATCGGTATTGTTTTTACTGCGTTGCATTATTTTGCCTTGATATTGGCGAGGGGCTCTTGGTCCAAGGAACTAGACTTATTTTTTAATCGCTTGGATTGAATATGAATGCCTCCCATTCCACAGAGCGCTTTCCCCTGATTAAAATACAACATTTATGTAAAATAAACATCAATCTTTAATGGCTAATTCATCTTAGGAACTGGATAACAGTTTCTTGGCTTTAGCTTGTCTTGGTACAAATTTTATTGGATTCTGTGCAATAAATGAAGAAAGCGTCTTCAATAGTCGACAATATACTTTTAGTGCTAATGTGTTTTCCTCAATAGAAACTTTGTATTTGTGTCAGTTGTAATATATCATTTTTTTAATCAAATTGGTTTCTTTGAGATACCTGGAGAATATTTCTTCTGATCAGAAATAATTCACAGTGTTTGACTTTACTGAGTTATCCCAGGTTAAATCATAATGTTTGACTTTACTGAGTTATCCCAGGTTAAATCATAATGTTTGACTTTACTGAGTTATCCCAGGTCAAAACTATAAAATATTCAGTTAATAAATATTAATTACTTACTTGCACACTTGTACCTTAAGCGTTGGTAAATCTTACTAAGAGAAAAGCTTGGATTTATTTTGGCCTGTGTTGGTCCCAGTTACCTTATTTTATAGAAGAAACTGGCAAATTTGTAATTCTTATTTTCATGCGAAAATATCTGAGTGCCTCATCTAATTGCCTTCACCTTTCAACGCTGACCTCAAACTTAATGTGCTGGTGTATTTCAAGATATTGGCCCCTATGAGAGTACATGTAGGTGTTACTTAGTGGAAAATTTTATTTACTTTAGAGCTGCATATATCTTAATAAAAGTTGACACTTTTATTGGGATTTTAGCGTCTGTGTTATAACTTTTGAATACCATATATGATTCCCTTCAAATCTTCATTGATAATGCTTAACTGCATAAAAAACATACCTGGAGATATACCACACTCTGAAATAATCTTTTCACGTACATTGACGTATAGGTGCTTGGCGTTATGCAATACTGGCATACCTTTCAAAGATCGCGCAGCGACTGAAATACGTCTAATTACCATCGTGAATATTGATCATTGTACATCATAGCTTGTTAATAAATCATTTACAGGACTGGTACTTCCTGCCAATAAGACTGACAGCTCGTGTTGATGGAGACTACCTTCCCGAGGAGCCGGCAGTGTTGCTGCGAGAAGGTCGCTTCCACCAGGTGCCAGTCATCACGGGAGTCACTCAGCACGAGGGAGGCCTCTTCGCGCTGCGTGAGTTACCAAGCTCCTTTCATTCAGAGGGGAAGGCCTACGTAGATACTAGTTTAAATTCTTTGGTGTGAAGAATTAGAGCTTCTTCTCCCTTTCCTCGGATCAAGATGATTGGTTCTTGTTTTTGCAGTATAATAAGAACATGAGAAAGAACACTGAAACAGGCTTACTGGCCTATGCGAGGCAGGTCCAATTCTCCCACCGGCTTAAGCCAATGCCTTGACCTAGTCATGGCATATATACCTTCACGGTATATATAAAAATATATAAAATATATATATATATATATAATTTATATATAATAATATATATATATTATTATATATATATATATATATATATATTAACACGTTGCCCGTTTCCCCCGCCGAGGCAGAGTGGCCCCCCCCCAAAAAAAGAAAAAAATCTTTCATCATCATTCAACACTTTCACCATCATTCATCCATAATCACTGTCATATATATATATATATATATATATATATATATATATATATATATATATATATATATATATATATATATATATATATATATATATATATATATATATATAATATATTTAAACAAGTCGGCCGTCTCCCACCAAGGCAGAGTGACCCAAAAAGAAAGAAAATCTCCAAAAAGAAAATACTTTCATCATCATTCAACTCTTTCACCTCACTCACACATAATCACTGTTTTTTCAGAGGTGCTCAGAATACAACAGTTTAGAAGCATATACGTATAAAGATACACAACATATCCCTCCAAACCGTCAATATCCCGAACCCCTCCTTTAGAGTGCAGACATTGTACTTCCCATTTCCAGGACTCAAGTCCGGCTACATAAAAATAACCAGTTTCCCTGAAACCCTTTACTAAATATTACCCTGCTCACACTCCTACAGATCGTCAGGTTCCAAATACCATTCGTCTCCATTCACTCCTATCGAACACGCTCACGCTCACCTGCTGGAAGTCCAAGCCCTTCGCCCACAAAAACCTCCCTTACCCCTTCCGTCCAACCTTTTTGAGGACGACCCCTACCCCGCCTTCCTTTCCCTACAGATTTAAATGCTCTCCATGTCATTCTACTTTGATCCATTCTCTCTAAATGACCAAACCACCTCAACAACCCCTCTTCAGCCCTCTGACTAATACTTTCATTAACTCCACACCTTCTCCTAATTTCCACACTCCGATTTTTTTGCATAATATTTACACCACACATTGCCCTAAAACAGGACATCTCCACTGCCTCCAACCGCCTCCTCGCTGCTGCATTTACAACCCAAGCTTCACACCCATATAAGAGTGTTGGTACTACTATACTTTCATACATTCCCTTCTTTGCCTCAATAGATAATGTTTTTGTCTCCATATATACCTGAGCGCACCACTCATCTTTTTTCCCTCATTAATTCTATGATTAACTTCATCCTTCATAAATCCATCCGCCGACACGTCAATTCCCAAATATCTGAAAACATTCACTTCTTCCATACTCCTCCTCCCCCAATTTGACATCCAATTTTTCTTTATCTAAATCATTTGATACCCTCATCACCTTACTCTTTTCTATGTTCACTTTCAACTTTCTACCTTTACACACACTCCCAAACTCATCCACTAACCTTTGCAATTTTTCTTTAGAATCTCCCATAAGCACAGTATCATCAGCAAAAAGCAACTGTGTCAATTCCCATTTTGTATTTGATTCCCCATAATTTAATCCCACCCCTCTCCCGAACACCCTAGCATTTACTTCTTTTACAACCCAATCTATAAATATATTAAACAACCATGGTGACATTACATATCCCTGTTTAAGACCTACTTTTACCGGGAAGTAGTCTCCCTCTCTTCTACACACCCTAACCTGAGCCTCACTATCCTCATAAAAACTCTTTACAGCATTTAGTAACTTACCACCTATTCCATATACTTGCAACATCTGCCACATTGCGACCCTATCCACTCTATCATACGCCTTTTCTAAATCCAAAAATGCAATAAACACTTCCCTACCTTTATCTAAATACTGTTCACATATATGCTTCAATGTAAACACTTGATCTACACATCCTCTTCCTACTCTAAAACCTCCTTGCTCATCCGCAATCCTACATTCTGTCTTACTTCTAATTCTTTCAATTATAACCCTACCGTACACTTTTCCTGGTATACTCAGTAAATTTATTCCTCTATAATTTTTACAATCTCTTTTGTCCCTCTTCCCTTTATATAAAGGGACTATACATGCTCTCCGCCAATCTCTAGGTACCTCCCCCTCTTTCATACATTTATTAAACAAAAATACCAACCACTCCAACACTATATCTCCCCCTGCTTTTAACATTTCTGTCATGATCCCGTCAGTTCCAGCTGCTTTACCCCCTTCCATTCTACGTAATGCCTCACGCACCTCCCCCACACTCACATCCTGTTCTTCTTCACTCCTAAAAGATGGTATACCTCTATGTTCAGTGCATGAAATTACCGCCTCCCTTTCTTCGTCGACATTTAAAAGTTCCTCAAAATATTCTCGCCATCTACCCTAAACCTCCATCTCCCCATCTACTAACTCCACTACTCTGTTTTTAACTGACAAATCCATTTGTTCCCTAGGTTTTCTTAACTTGTTTAACTCACTCCAATTTTTTTTCTTATTTTCATTAAAATTTCTTGACAGTGCCTCTCCTACTTTATCATCTGCTCTCCTTTTGCACTCTCTCACCACTCTCTTCACCTTTCTTTTACTCTCCGTAAACTCTACTCTTCTTATAACACTTCTGCTTTGTAAAAACCTCTCATAAGCTAGCTTTTTCTCTTTTATCACACCCTTTACTTCATCATTCCACCAATCACTCCTCTTTCCTCCTGCACCCACCCTCCTATAACCACGAATAGGCAGAACTTGCAATCTTGGCTTAAATAGCAACGCTCATCTTGCCATATAGGGCAAGTGAAAATTTGTGTATGCAATAATTTCGCCAAAATCATTGTGAATCTAGCGAAAAAAATATATTTCACTGTGTTTGTTTAGTATTAAATTGTTGTAAATAAATCTAGAATATATTTAGTTGGGTTAGGCTAAAATAAATTGCGCTTGTTATAATAAGGTTAGGTAAGTTTTCTAAGTTCCTTTTGGTGCAAAATTATAAATTTTTTACCTCAACATTAATGAAAAAATATATCTTTAAACGTATAAGAGAAAATTTTAGAAAGGACTTAATTTTAAATGAGTTCTTGCTAATTGACCAGTTTTACATATTCGGCACGACATATATATATATATATATATATATATATATATATATATATATATATATATATATATATATATATATATATATATATATGTCGTGCCGAATATGTAAAACTGGTCAATTAGCAAGAACTCATTTAAAATTAAGTCCTTTCTAAAATTTTCTCTTATACGTTTAAAGATATATTTGTTTCATTAATGTTGAGGTAAAAAATTTATAATTTTGCACCAAAAGGAACTTAGAAAACTTACCTAACCTTATTATAACAAGCGCAATTTATTTTAGCCTAACCCAACTAAATATATTTTAGATTTGTTTACAGTAATTTAATACTAAACAAACGCAGTGAAATATATTTTTTTCGTTAGGTTCAGAATGATTTTGGCGAAATTATTGCATACACAAATTTTCACTTGTCCTATATGGCAAGATGAGCGTTGCTATTTAAGCCAAGATCGCAAGTTCTGCCTATTCGGCACGACATATATATATATATATATATATATATATATATATATATAATATATATATATATAATATATATATATATATATATGTATATATATATATATATATATGTATATATATATATTATATATATATATATATATATATATATATATATATATATATATATATATATATATATATGTATATATGTAATATATATATATATGTATATATATGTATATATATATATATTATATATATATATATATATATATATATATATATATATATATATATATATATATATGTATATATATGTATATATTATATATATATATATATATATATATATATATATATATATATATATATATATTATATATATATATGTATATATATATATATTATATATATATATATATATATATATATATATATATATATTATATATATATATATATATATATATATATATATATATATACATGTATGTCGTGCCGAATGTGTAAAACTGGTCAATTAGCAAGAACTCATTTAAAATTAAGTCCTTTCTGAAATTTTCTTTTATACGTTTAAATATATATATTTTTTTTTCATTGATGTTAATGTAAAAATTTTTAATTTTGCACCAAAAGAATCTTAGAAAACTTACCTAACCTTATTATAACAAGAACAATTTGTTTTAGCCTAACCCAACTAAATATATTTTAGATTTGCTTACAATAATTTAATACTAAACAAACACAGTGAAATATATTTTTTTCGTTAGGTTCAGAATGATTTTGGCGAAATTATTGCATACACAAATTTTCACTTGTCCTATATGGCAAGATGAGGGTTGCTATTTAAGCCAAGATCGCAAGTTCTGCCTATTCAGCATGACATATGTATATATATATATATATATATATATATATATATATATATATATATATATATATATATATATATATATATATATGTATTTTTTATTATTATTATTTATTATCACTCTGGCCGATTCCCACCAAGGCAGGGTGGGAATATATATATATATATATATATATATATATATATATATATATATATATATATATATATAGAGAGAGAGAGAGAGAGAGAGAGAGAAGAGAGAGAGAGAAAGAGAGATTGGTGGATGAATTTGGTAGGGTGTGCAAAAGAAGAAAATTAAAGGTGAATACAGGAAAGAGTAAGGTTATGAGGATAACAAAAAGATTAGGTGATGAAAGATTGAATATCAGATTGGAGGGAGAGAGTATGGAGGAGGTGAACGTATTCAGATATTTGGGAGTGGACGTGTCAGAAGATGGGTCTATGAAAGATGAGGTGAATCATAGAATTGATGAGGGAAAAAGAGTGAGTGGTGCACTTAGGAGTCTGTGGAGA